CAAGACTTAGAAATTTGTTCAACTCTTGAGAAGAATGTAAACATTGCACTTTTTGTCATCTGGAGGATTTCATATAATGTTGATTAGAAAAATTGTCCTGAAAGGCAATCTGTTTTAAAAATTAAAGAGATGAAAGCATTAAATTTTCCACATGTTTCCCCTTTGACATAATCTAGAGTGCAATCAGGAAAAAAAAACAAAACAAAACTTACTTCTCCTTAAAGTAACTGTACATCTCCTAGTTTACAAAAGAGAGGGAAAGGGCATCTAACGTCAAGTCCTTTCCTGAAATACATTCTTATAAATATCTATATGTCTGGATTCTAGTTTCCTTGCTCATAATAGTTATACAAACATAAGTTTTTCCTTAGATTTCCTCATGGACAGGGAATCCATCCAAAACTGAAAGGGTTTTGGAGTCAGAAAAATCACTAAAAGAAAAGAAAATTATTTTTTCTCTAAACCCCATGTCCTTCTGAATAGTATGTTACTTTCTTCGTCCCCTGTTATACTCCTGTAAGAGTTGAGGAACCTAATAACCAAAAATGCCCCTTCCTCACTCTTTTCAAGATGACTCAGAAGAAAAAGGCAAATCAGAGCTCCCTGTGTCTTCAACTCTCCAGGAAACTAGAGCAAGGCATATGCACTGTGACACTTGGGAGATTTTCAAGCCATCTTTGTCCCGTTTTTATTAGGAAACATGCCTTATCTTTGTACGAGTGATTTTATATAATATCATTTCATTCCAGTCAAATGTAGCAGTCTCAACAAGAAAACAAAAATGGGCAAAGGGCTTGAACAGACATTTCTCTAAAGATCTATAAATGGCCAAAAACATGAAAAGGTGCCCAACGTCATTAACCATCAGATAAATGCAAATCAAACTGACGCAACATACTACCTCGCACCCATTTGGATCGCTAGACCCAAAAAACAAAGAAAAGAAAGGAAGAGGGAAAGAGAGAATGAAAAGGAAGGGAGAGAGGAAGGAAGGTAGGAAGGAAGGAAGGGAGAAAACAAGAAAATAAGTGTTGGCAAGGATGTGGAGATACTGGAACTCTTGGGCACTCTTGGTAGGAATGTACAATGGTGCAGCTGCTGTAGAAAACAGTATGGTGGTTGCTCAAAATGTTGAAAATAGATTTACCATCTGACTTAGCAATTCCACTTCTTCATTATGTATCCCAAAGGATTGAAAACAGGATCTGACAGAGATATTTGTGCACCCATGTTCACAGGAGCATTATTCACAGTATCCAAGAGGTGAAAGTAACCCAGGTGTCCATCACCAGATAAATGAATAGACAAAATGTGATATATACACACAATGGATACTATTCAGCCTTAAAAGGGAAGGAAATCTGACGCTACAACATGAATGAACCTTAAGGACATGCTAATTGAAATAAGCCAGTCATGGGGCACCTGGGTGGCTCAGCCAGTTGAGCGTCCAACTCTTGATTTTGGCTCGGGTCATGATCTCGTGGTTCACGAGTTCAACCCCCTCGTCGAGCTCTCTACTGTCAGTGCAGAACCTGCTTTAGATCCTCTGTCTCCCCCTCTCTCTGCCCCTCCCCAGCTGTGCACACATGCTCTCTCTCTCTCAAAAACAAGTAAAAACATTTTAAAAAATGGCTAATATTATAAATTCTTAAATGGTAAGATATGTGTATTTTATCACAATTTTAAAAAGAATTAAGTTTTATTTATTTAAGCAATCTCTACACCCAGCGTGGGGCTCGAACTCATGATCCGGAGGTCAAGAGTTGCATGCTCCTCTGATTGAGCCAGCCAGGTGCCCCTAAAAAATTTTTTTAATGCACATGTTTCACTTGAAACCTCCAGCATTTTCACAAATTTGAGTGTCATACGTGCACAGGGGCCATGCTAATCTTCTCTTTACCATTCCAGTTTTAGTATATGTGCTGCCGAAGTCAGCACGGAACCTCCAGTGTTGTCAGCTTTCTGTGCCTGGTCCATTTGAGCATCTCCATTTTCTGCAGGGTTATTCCAATCCTCATCAGCACTGACTTTCCCTTTTTTCTCTTTGGGTCCCTTCACCCCCCTTCTTTGCAGGGACCTTTCAAAGTGTAGGCCCTGGCTTCAGAGGGGTAGGTTTAGAGTTGGAGGCATTAGTATGCATTCATATTTGGCTTAATATAGATACAGATGGCTATACATGGAAATATTTATACCTATGTGTATTTATACAGGTTGTTATACCCACATATTTTTCCTTGCCGCGTCCACTGAGAGGACCTAGAAGCAACTCAGTAGCAATGAGCACACCCACCACCCAGATCTTGGTTTCTAATACCATTCTCCAATGAAAGGAACCAAGGCTCTTTGAGACATGGCTGACTCTAGGGCTAGGGAGGGAATATACAAAAATAAAATTAAAAGGCAACCTATGGAATGGGAGAAATATTTGCCAATCATGTATCTGATAAGGGGTTACTATCCAAAATTCATAAAGAATTCATACAACTCAGTAGCAAAAAACCAACCTGATTAAAAAATGGGCAGAGGGTCTGAACCGACAGTTTTTCAAAGCAGGGCATACAGATGGCCAACAGGTATGTGACATCACTAGTCATCAAGGAAATGCAGCTCAAACCCACAATGAGATATTGCCTCACACCTGTTTCAGAATGGCCATTCTCAAAAAGACAAGAGATAGCAAGTGTTGGTGAGGATGTGGAGAAAAGGGGCCCCTTGTGCACTGTTGGTGGGAATCTTAACTGGTGCAGCCACTGTGGAAAACAGTGTGGGGTTTCCTCAAAAAATGAAAAAAAATCGAACTACCGTATGATCCAGCTCTTACATTTCTGGGTATATATCCAAAGACAATGAAAACAGGAGCTCAAAGAGATACTTGCACTCCCATGTTCATTGCAGCCCTGGTCACAATAGCCAAGGCACAGAAACTGTCTACATGCCCATTGGTGATTGAATGGATAAAGATGACATGGTACGTATACACGATGGAACATTATTCAGCCATGAGAAAGAAACCCTGCCATTCGTGACAACACGGACGAGCCTGCAGACATTATGCTAAGCGGAATAAGCCAGAAAAAGAAGTCAGTACTCTAGGATATCACTCACACATGGAATCCAGAAAAAGCCAAACTCCTAGAAACAGAGTGGAGTGGCGGTTGAGTAGGGTGATCTGTGTTACATACTCAACAGTCGCCAAGAGAGCAGATCTTAAATATTCTCACTACGAAAAAGAAATGGTGAATGACCTGAGGCGCCGTGATGGAGGGGTTGGCTGACGCTGTGGTGGTAGTCATTTTATACCGCGTGAGCGTATCTCATCAATATGTCGTACACCTCGATTTTTCTTTAAGTTTTTAAAAATTTCTGTAAGGCATCTCTACACCCAGCGTGGGGCTAAAACTCACAATTCGGAGATCAAGAGCTGGATGCCCTTCTGACTGAGCCAGCCAGGAGCCCCCGACGAGTTGTGCACCTTGCAACTTACGCTGTCGTCTGACAGTGTCCTCTCCACCAAACTAGGAAAAGAAAAAGATTGACAGAGAGGGGGAGGGGAGAGCCTGGCTGGTGCAGAGGAATCTGCAACTCTTGATCTCGGGGCCGCAAGTTTGAGCCCCAAGTGGGGTGTAGAGATTACTTAAATAAATAAAACTTGAAAAAAAAAAAAGAGTGAGCGCGATAGAGTAAGAGAGAGAGGAAGGGAGAAACATGTGATGGTATTTATGCATTTACACTAAATGACTACTATTTATAGGGATGTATCAAAGACCACGTTTTGAAAATGAGCTCTGGAATCAGACCACATGGGTTTGAATCCCAGTTCTTCCCCTTACTCACACTCTCACTTTGGGTAACTTATTTAATCTTAATGTGCCTCAAATGGATAATACAAGCATCTACCTCCGCATAGTGTCTCTGGTGGTTAGCTCCGTTCCTGGTACCTAGGTGGTGTCCGATGAAATTTGTTCAATAACTGACCGAGTGAATGAAGTAATGATTTTTATGGAGATTAAATAAGGTCATATAACTTTAGTTTGCTGGCATGGTGCAAACATTCAATAAAGGTTGAGTGTTACCATCGACATCCTCTCTAGCCTTGGGAATACTTCCTTAGCGTGGGCTGTTCCCTGTGTCTGGAACACCCTTCCATCTCTTCTGCACCTTGTTTCTCAAGACTCCGGTCAGGCAAAACCCCGCAGTCAGTCTTTCCCGGGTGGCCCCTTCCCAAATTGTCCCTCTGCTTCTTTTCGCCACTTATAGCACCTCTGATGTTGGGTTTACAATGATTTTTCTTTCTTTCATGATGGCCTTATTGAGATGTAATTCACGTATCATAAAAGTGACCCATTTACAGGGTACAATTCGGTGATTTTCAGTATGTTCACAGAATTGGGCAGTCATCACCTCAATTTTCGCCATTCCCCAAAGAAACCCCATGCCCATTAGCCCCGCTCCCCCTCACTCCAGCCGCTGGCAAGCACTAATGTACTTTCTGTCCTGATGGATCTTCCTATTCTAGACTTTCATGTAAATGGAGTCGTGCGAGATATATGGCTTTTTGTGTCTGGCTGCTTTCACTCAGCATAATGTTTTCTAGGTTCATCCAGGTTGTAGCACGTGCCAGCATTTCATCCCTTTTCACGGCTGAAAAATACCTACTTCATGGTCATACCATTTATCCACTCAGCAGTTGGTGGACATTTGGGATATTTACACTTGTTGACTATTCTAAACAATGCTGCTATGAATATCTGTACGAATCGTTGCGTGGACACATTTCTCTTGGTACATACCTAGGGGTAGACTGCTGTGTGATCTGGTAACACTATGTTCAACTTTTTCAACACTGTGTTCAAACTGCCTGTTTTCCAAGGCGGCTGCACCATTTTGCATTCCCACCAGCAGTGTATGGGGGGGGTCCAGTTTCTCTACATGTACAATCATTTGTCAGTGTACCTCCATACCAGTGAACTTCTTGAAGGCAAAGAGAGTGAGACTGCGGTTTTCTGTCCCTCCAGCTCTTAGCCCAGTGCGAGCCACCGAGAGAAACTTTTCTTTCCCCAGCTCATCCCTGCTCCACGGGACTACGTCAGAGTCATAGAGACATGATATCTTCCGTGTTAAAATATATGTTCAGGTAGGAGTCCACTCTGTTATTATACAGAATGAGGAAAATGAGGCCCAGAGAAGTCAAAAGACCTGCCTGATGTCACACAGAGCCAGAGCTAGAACTCAAGGCTCACAACTGGAAGCACAGAGCTCTTTGCCTGCAGTGCTCTGTAAAGTGCCTCTGAATTTACTCCAAGACCAGAGGAGAATGAACTTTGACTCCAGGGATCTGGTGGCATAGCCCTAGATAGCAAAGCCACAGGTAGCACCTTGCCCTGAGATAGCATGTTTCTCTTCAAAATCCATGGGAAGCCAGCATTCAAAACCGCAGCATGTCTGGGGTGTGTGTGTGTGTGTGTGTGTGTGTGTGTGTGTCTTTTAACCTATGAATAACCTTGTGATTATTCATCCTCCAGTAATATAGAAGCTGCAGGTCTTTGCACGGTTCTACGCAGTGGCTCTAGGACCCCTGGGCACAGGCTGCGTCCCCGTGGGGTGCTGGAGCCCCCACGTGGGTATATTTTAACGAGCTGAGAGGAGAGATGTGAGGGAGGACAGGGATGCTAGGGAAGTAGACTTGACTCAGGTGTGCAACAGCATCACCATCTGCCTCCCAGGGAAGGAGCAGGCGAACAGGTTAGGGGAGGATGGCCCCAGGCGCATGGGTGCAGCAGCGAGGAGCCACATGTCACACTGGAACACCCATACTACGGCTCTAAGGTGGGGGCGTGGGTGTCAGCTCTGGAAGAGGCCTTCAAGGGGACCCAGGCCAAACCTCATTTCCCAAGAGTGGAAGCTGTGTGCTGTGTGTTGACGGTAACCCAGCCAGTTAGTGTCTTGGGACCACCTGACCAACTGCAGCCAGTATTATGTAGCTTTGCCAGGTGACAAAGGAGACCGGCCCCTCACTGCGGGGAGGGCCATGGGGCTGGGATGATGTGACATTCCCTGCCCTTCACCAAGGGCCTGGCCCCGGGCGCTCAGAGACCACAGTCCCTTGGCCTCCTTGGTTCCGTGTTGCAAGTGAATTAAACAAGATGGAAGTACGTAAAGCATATAGCACAGGGCCTGACATTTAGTAAGTACTCACAAGTGGGAGGTTTTTTATTTATGATTTTTTTTTTTTTTTACGTAGTCTCTACAGCCAACGTGGGGTGTGAACTCACAACCCCGAGATCAAGGGTCGTATGCTCTAATTGGGCCAGCCAGGGGCCGCACAAATGGGAGCTATTTTTGTTGTTGCTGTTGCTGCTGCTGTGGTAGATGTTTGCTGGTTATCTCATGCTGATTATATTACAACCCACTGAGAAATCTTTCGCCGATTTATGAGATTCATGACTAGAGCAGTGGTTTCAAACATCAAGGTATGTTAAAATCACCTGGGGGAGCTGGTTCAAAATTAGATTTCAGGGCCTAGCACCTCCTGGGTCTAATTGAGTAGGAGATATATATATATATATATACACACACACACACACACACAAACACACATATACACACACATATACACACACATATATACACACACACACACATATAGACTATAGACTGTAAACAGAACATATAGATAGAATATATATAGAATATATATCTAGAATACATATATGTGTATTAAGTATATGTAATATGTATATTATGTTATACATATTATGTTATATATGTATACATATATATTATACATATTACATTATACATATATATTATATATTGTATTTACTTCTTAATTTTTTATAAATATCGCAGGTGATTCAGTGCTGGTGGTGCAAGGGTCACCTGCACCCGGCTGCCTGGAGCCGGGAGCCCTCTGCCCCTAGCTGCGCTGAGCACTGTCCATTGGTGTTCTGCTTCATTTGATTTTCTTAAAAAAAAAAAAAAAATTAAAATAAGTTACACATGCTTTTAGGAAAACCATCCAGAGAGCACAGAATCTTATGAAGTGGAAGGAAACTCCCTGGACCCCACTGCTTCCGTGCTTATGTCTGCGTTCCCACCCCAAGATAATCATGGTTAACTGTGGTTTGTTTCCAGAAATGGCCTCTGTCTGTACAAGCATATCCACTAATGTATAACTTTTCCCCCGTGCTCACTTGGTCAAAAACACGAAGAGGATCGGAGGATTGAGCAAGGATTGGCAAATGTTTTCAGTAACGTGTTGAATAGGAAATATTTTTGGCTTTGAAGGCCATATGGTCTCTGTCCCAACTACTAAACTCTCCATTGTAGCTTGAAGGCAGCCACAGCAATTTGTAAATGAATGGGTGTGGCTGTGTTCCAAAGCGATTTTAGTTACCGGACAGGTGGCAGGCTGGATTTGGCCCACAGGCCACAGTTAGCTGCTAGAGTACAATTTTGTCTTTTCACTTATGTATTTTGAACATCTTTTCCATATCAGCCCATGCAGTGACTTTATTCTTGAACCGCTACATGGTACTGATAATATACTTAGCCACTTCTCAACTGGACAATTAGACATTTTTCCAGGTTTTGCCGTACTAAACAAAGCTGCCATACGCTGTGCGCTCGGTTGACTACTCTCAGTCAACTGGAATGAATTCTCTGAGCAGAATTGCTGACTCCAAGGGTAAGAAGGAGTTTAAACTTTTGATAGAGATGGCCAGACTGCTCTTAGGCTTCTCCTTAAATTCAGATTGCCACATAACCTTGTGATTTTCATTGTGTAATCTTCCTGCTGATGACTATTTTCTCGTTAATTTGAAGTTTTTGTAATAACTACGGGAAAGATTCCACCACAACAGAGGGGACAATGAACTATGTGGTAACAAACTCAAGTTTATAATTGTTTAATAAATACTTGCCCGCCATGAAGCAATTTGCACTGCATTCTTGTCCACGTAAAAAGCAAATTCCCTTCTGCCCAGAAAGCAGTAGCCCGGGGCAGCTCTTTATACACGTAAAGAACATTCTGTGCAAAAGCACAACTGAACCCCTTGCAGAGCAAATATGCTGATCAGATGGGACATAATTGCCTTTACAGCTGCAGCATATGCAGGCCAGGGCTCGGCAATGGTGCAAGTGAATTTTGAATTTCCAATTGGAGCGCTCAGTCAGACCCTTTACACAACCGGGCCAATGTTGCAGATTCCCTTATCTGAAAAAAATGCAGTGATCCCACTCGGTGTTGTTGGGATTACAATTATGAACAACCAGCCTCCATTGAGCACCCGCTCTGAGCCCGGCACTAGGGAAGTCCTTCACCTCCATTCCTTCCACCCTGTGATGATGATTCAATGACCATCTTACAGATGGAAAAACTAAAGCTCAGATAGGCCAAGTAACTTAACCATGGTAATAATATAGTCAGGCTTGACTTCCAAGTCCTTGGGGGAAAAAAAGTCATTTGCTGCATTAAAAACTGGCAAAAACCTTCGTGACTGATTCCTAACTATTGGGCCAATTTTTATGAAGTCCCCCACGTTGTATAATCTTTCGTTACAAAACATATTTCTCATCCTGACAAATAAATCACTTCAGCAGTCGTGTATGACCATGACTGAGGCAACATTTAAAAACAGACTTACAAAAGGAGTATGAGAAATATTGCTAAAATCTGAATGCTGACATTTCTGATTCTGGGTCCAGGCAAGATGGCATAGCCCCGTTTTTCCTTGCTCCTCACGGCGACACACAACTACAGACCGTGGAAATGGCAAAAGAGACAACCAAAGGAAAACCCCGGAAGGTGGTAAAAGGTGAGCTGGTTTGGGACCAGGACCAGAGAACAGCACAGTGGCAGGGCACGTGCGTCCTACCACCCAAGGGAGAGTCCTTCCCCAACCCTTAACCTAGCAATAGAAGGCAGCCCAGATAGACTCATTCCTCCCTCTTAGAGAATGGGTGTCTCGCTGGTGGGTGTGACACTACCTGGCAAGGGGGATCGCTGGGAGTCCAGCCAGGAATAAGCCACCAGGGACGTATTCTCTTTCCCTACAGACTCTCTACCAAGTATCCTCGGTGGGTGGGCAGGCTGAGCCTGAGGGAGAAATCCAGCTATCGCAGGTGGACGAGTCCAGGAAGCCTCTTTATCCCTGCAGCCTAAGTAAGACTCTCCTCCTCAACCCAGAGACATTGGCCTAGTCCCTGGCTAGATGGAGGGGGTCAGTTTGGGGCCCCACACATGCTTCCCCCACCAAGAGATACCCACCAGCCCCTTGAGGCGGCACCTGCAGGTACCAACAGAAGCTCCAAGGGCACCAGATAAAACCAGGCAGACCAAAGTAACACTGCAAAGCTGCTGTAAAGTGCCTTTGAAACCGCAGTCCCCAAAGTAGGCCGAGCCCCCATGTGCTAGCCCTAAGTGGGGTGACACCTGCTAAGACATGAGATTTAAATAGGGCCATCACAGATGAAATGTCTAGGATACTACTCACAATTACCCATCATACCGTGAACCAAGGAAATCGCAACTGAATGAAAAAAGACAATGGATGCCAACACTGAGATGAATTGTGAAAAGGATTTTAAAGCAGCCATCTTAAGACTGCCATTAGACTGTCCATTGGAAATTCCCTTGAAATGGGTTAAAAAATAGAGAATCTCAACAAAGAAATGTAACTTATAAAAAAGAACTGAATAAAAACCATAGAACTAAAAATACAGTTAACTTCATAGTTCCATTATAATGGCACACTTGCTCAGTGGTTCACTGTCAGAGTGGAGATGACAGAGGACAGGCTCCATGAACTTGGGGACAGAACAACACAGCTCACCCACTGTGAAAAAGAAAATAGGCTGGGAAAAGAGAGCTACGGGCCTGGGGACAGTAACCAAAGATCCAGCCCTCGTATCATCAGATCGAAAGGAGCGGGGGGTTAGGCCTAAAAGGGTATTTGAAGAAATATGGCTGAGAAATTCCCACATCTGGTGAAAGACACAAACTTACAGACCCAAGCTGAGCAAACCCCAAACAGGATACAATGCAAACATAGCAGTAACTATCTTAAACGTGAAATAGTGGAGCCACTCTGGAAAACAATTTGGCAGCTTCTTATTATTAAACTAAATGTGCATCTATTGAGGTGCCTGAGTGGCTCAGTCGGTTGAGCATCTGACTCTTGATTTCAGCTCAGGTCAGGATCTCACGATTTGTGGGGTCAAGCCCGAGTCGGGCTTCCAGCTGACATCGAGGAGCCTGCTCGGGATTTTCTCTGTCTCCCTCTGCCCCCTCCTCCGTGCTCTCTCAAAATAAATAAATAAACATTAAAAAAAAAAAATAAACATGCATCTATCATTTGACCTAGCAGTTACAATGGAAGGTGATACTGACACACAAATGTGTATGGGAATGTTCACGGCCGCTTTATTTGTAACAGCCAAAAACTGCAACGAGCCTGGAAGTCCTTCAACAGGCAAAACAAAGTTTGGTATGCAACAATAAAAAGGGATGAATAAAAAAGAATGAATTATCAAAAACATGCAACAACCTAGAAGAATCTCCAGGGAATTACGCTGAGTGAAAAAAGCCAAACCCAAGGTTACCCACTATATGGTACCATTTATAGAACATTCTTGAAATGACAAAATTGTAGAAATAGAGGACAAATTGGCAGTTGCTGATTTGGAGATTAAGGACGGGGTGGTGGAAAGACCATGAAAGAGGAAAGCGTGGTTATAAAAGAGCGAGAGGAGGTCGTGTTGCCAAAACTTGAGGATCTTGTAGGGTACAGGAACCTTCCTAGGTGACTCAGTTGTACACAACAATACACACCACGAACGAGTATAGGTAAAACTGGAAAATCTGAATAAGATCAGTATTCTGTCTCAAAGCCATTGTCCTGATTGTGACATTATACTATCGCTTTGCAAAATCGTACCTTTGGAGGAAACGGGGAAAGGTGGAGAGAGAAATTCTCTGTATTATCTCTTACAACTAACTGGATGTGAATCTACATTGATCTCAATGAAAAATTTCAGTTTAAAAAATCCACTTAATACATGCCATTACACAAGTAACATCTTATTTACAAATGAGGGAACTGAAGTTGGGTGGTTGGTAACTGACCTAAGGTTACAGAGTTAAAGTCGATAGGCTAGGATTGAAAAGTCAGGTCTGTACAGCTTCAAAACACATGACCTTAATCACAGAGCTACCTGGGCTAATAACTCAGAATATAATGTAAATAACTCAAGAGTCCAATTAGTTGATTAGAGAAATTAAGAAAGTATATCATTTCAAAAGCTGAGCAAGGTTTTGCTTTCTGCTAATATAAAAACTTCTGCTTTACAATGGGATGCTAGGAATTAGGTAAGAACATAGTATCGAGACTACTGTAAAGGCGTTTCCTTCTCAGGTTCCTAAAAATCAAGCAAATTTTAGCCTCATAATTACAAAATTGAATTATAAGATCACTGATAGAAAACAAACGCCAAATGGCAACCCACGCCTCCTTGGTAACATCAAGTTTCAGATTAAAGTAAAAATATTATAAATGAAGTTTCAGCAAAATAATTTTATTTCCTAACACATGGTAAACATATACATCCAATATGTAGTTATCTTGCATGTTTATTCACAAATGACTTCCAAATTACAACTGCTTTGACAGTGAAACATGTACTAATAGTTATCTTAGTTGAGATATGAAAAATGCTTTTAGATGGATAACATTCTGAATATTGGTCACAGCAGAATTTGCTTTAGTTAGATGAGCTCTATGAATTTAAAGCTTTGAAAAGCTACTACTTTTGCATCTAATACTCCAGATGAACAGGACGCAGCAATATCAGCTTGTATTCCACAGAATTTTCCTTAGTTTTTCTGGTGATGGAACCACTTATCCACTGTATTTGGAGAAAAGAAAACCAAATTAGAATCTCTATTAAGAATCAAAACATATCCGGGGCACCTGGGTGGCTCAGTCAGTTAAGCGTCCAACTTTGGCTCTGGTCATGATCTCAGTGCTCGTGGGTTCGAGCCCCACATCGGGCTCTGTGCTGACAGCTCAGAGCCTGGAGCCTGCTTCAGATTCTGTATCTCCCCCTCTCTCTGCCCCTCCCATGTTCGTGCTCTGTCTCTGTCCCTCAAATGAATAAATGTTCAAAAAAATTTTTTTTTCTTAAATAAATAAGAAGGATCAAAACATACCCAACATATATCCTACCATGGGTTGCCTTAAAAAAAAAAACTTAGACGTGACATTTCACAATGTGACATTACATGTGACATTTACAAGCAAAAACAGGTGACTAATCACAGTCACAGTTTTCTTTTGGGCTTCTTTACTCTTGATACTAATCAATACACACGTAATTCTCACCAGAAGAACCTTATAGAGAATTCTAAATCTACAGGGGGAGAGAACTGTTTTCTGGGTGAAGCAGCCTGTGGCCAGATTGGGATCCAGAGCCCCACCTGCTCCAACATCTACAAGGCATCTACCCAGCACCCAGAGGAGAAGACTGGGTCGTGCTTGGGAAACTGCCATGATGGGGGCTGGGGGGGAAGGAGAGCCCGTGCAGCTATCTTTCTTCCCACAGACATTATGGGACTCTAGAAATGTCTCTTCTCCCCTTCCTGCTCTTTCTCCGTAGATGTGGTATGTAAGATGTATCTGTAGATACAGATATAATTTTCCCACACATACGTACAATGTTTAGTGTAGTTTTACTAGAATGGAGATCTTACCATCTGTTGGTATTGTGCAGGCAGATTCACATGGTGGTGGTAACTAAAATAAAATATGAAAATGTATTAGTCTAATGCCAGAAAAAAAATAAGCTAAAAAAGTATACCAACACATATATTAAACAGAATCTGAACAGAAGAGGACTTCCCCAATTTTTAAATCCTAAAAATAATTTATAATATATAGAAACAAGGCAATGTTTGCTTTCCTGCCAAGAAACAAATTCAGGCCTCTTAGCTTTTGAAGGCACACAGGAGAATAAACAAAAGGAAATGCATCTTGAGATAACTGATTTATGCATTTGCAATGATTATACACACACACACACACACACACACACACACACACACACACACACACACACACAAAGTAGGCAGAGCGTTCTCATTGAAAAGTTATGATTGTTGGCCAATGGTTTTTCCCTTCTAATTTTTCCTATTCACCTCAACGTTGTCAGGATTCATATATAAAGACAAACCTAAATATACTGGCTTCGTTGTTAAATTATTCTTTTTCCTTGTACTATACCCCACTTACAAGGCTACTAGTAAGAAGTCAGACTTCATGTTTTCTGTTTGTTTTCCTTATTTAATATAGTTAATAAGAATAATTTAGGATTATCTAGTTCAGTCTTTTGGTTAATCCAAATAATTGAAAATAATACAAAGTCAAAACTGTAAGATTATGAACCACTCCTGCACGGTGCCTGAAACTTGACCACTTTCTTGGTCCTTTCTATAAAAAGTCAAGTAAGTTCCCATTAATTCTTTTGTGAAAAATGGCCTATGATAGGTACGTAGGCACTTGGGTTAGTCGGTATATTCTGGAATCATTTTGATTGTTACAAATTATACTGTTTTCTCATCTGTCGTGTTAGTGTTGACTAGCATCCTTCTTAGCTTCTTCCTTCAATCAAAGGGCTACTTGTGTGCGCTCATCGTTTGCAATTTCAAGACCTCACACGGTAATATGCATGAGGAGGAACTCTGATATTTGTTGAAAGAAGTACTTTCCTTCCTCATTAGCATAGATTCTTTTAGCCACCAGGAACGGTCTTTTTCAAGGAAAATTTTACATACAGCATCCACAATAGCTTTGGCAGCATCAGGATCACACTTGAAGGGGCTCTCAGGCACCGTAGTATTCATGCTGTGAAAGAAAACAAAAGTAGTCATGAGTCACAGTAACGAAACCTGTCTATTAAGAGTTAAAAACCAACAGGTTGAGATAGGAAGCCAGATGAGATTCAAGTTTGGTTTACCTGAATCAAGTTTACTCAAGTTGTAGGATAGAAAATCAATATATACAGAAATCTGTTACATTTTCTATTCACTAATAACAGACCATCGGAAAGAGAAATTAAGAAAATAGTAACATTTGGGGCGCCAGGGTGGCTCAGTAGGTTAAGATTCCGACTTCAGCTCAGGTCATGATCTCACAGTTCATGGGTTCAAGCCCCGTGCTGGGCTCTGTGCTGACAGCTCAGAGCCTGGAGCCTGCTTCAGATTCTATATCTCCCTCTCTCTCAAGAATAAACGTTACCAAAACAATTTTTAAAAAAAGAAAGAAAATAATAATATTTACAGTTGCATCAAAAAGAATAAAATACACAGGAATAAATTTTTTTTTAAGTAATCTCTGTGTATGCTCTAAGTAATCTCTATGTGGGGCTTGAACTCACGACCCCGAGATCAAGAGATTCATGCTTCACCAACTGAGCTAGCTGGGCACCCCAATTTAACCAAGGAGGTGGGAGATCTGTACACTGAAAACTGTAAGACATTAATAAAAAGAAATTGAGGAAGACACAAATAAATGGAAAGATACTCCATGCTCGTGGACTGGAAGAATATGGTCAAAATGTTCATACTATCAAAAGCAATCTACAGATTCAGTGCAATCCCTATCAAAATTCAATGGCATTTCTCAAACAGGACAAACAATCCTAAAATTTGTGTGGAGCCACAAAAGACCCTGAGTAGCCCAAGACAATTTTGAGAAATAAGAGCAAAGCTGGAGGCATCACACTCCCTGATTTCACACTACCTTACAAAGTTACGTTAACCAGAATAGTATGGTACTAGCATAAAAACAGACACAGAGATCAATGGAACAGAACAGACAGCCAGGAATAAAACCCATTCATATAAAGTCAGTTAGTTTACGGTAAAGGAGCCAAGATATACAATGAGAAAAGGACAGTCTCTTCAATGAACGGTGTTGGAAAAACTGGATAGGCACAAGCAAAGAATGAAACTGGACCACTATCTTACATTATACACAAATATTAACCCAAAATAGGTTAAAGACTTGAATGTAAGACCTGAAGCAGTTAAACTCCTACAGGAAAACACAGGCAGTAAGCTCCCTGACATCACTTTTGGGGATCAATTTTTGGATTTATCCAAAAAGCATAGGCAAAGAAAAGCAAAAATAAATAAGTGGGACAACATCAAACTAAAAAGCTTCTACACAGCAAAGGGAACCATCAACAAAATGAAAAGGCAACCTACTAAATGGGAGAAAATATTTGCAAATCATGTATCTGATAGGGGGTTAAGATCCAAAATACATATATAAAGAACTCATACAGCTTGACAGCAAACAATCAATCTGATTAAAAAATGGGTAAGAGCATCAGACAGAAATTTTTTCAAAGACACACAATACAGTTGGTCAACAGGTACATAAAAACATGCTCAATAACACTCACCATCAGGGAAATGCAAATCAAAACCACTGTGAATCACACCCATTAGAATGGCTATTATCAACAAGCCATATCAACAAGGTAAGAAATAATAAGTGTTAGTAGGATGTAGAAGAAAAATGAAGCCCTTGTGCACTGCTGGTGGAAATGCAAATTGATGCAGTCACTATGGAAAACAGTATGAAGTGTCCTCAAAAAATTAAAAATAGAATTACCACTTGATCCAGCAATTCGACTTCTGTGTATTTATCTGAAGAATACAAAAACACTAAATGGGAAACGTGTATGTACCCTCATGTTCACTGCAGCTTGATTTACAACAACCAAGACATGGAAAAAACCTAAAGGTCCGCCAATGAATGAATGGATAAAGAAAATGTAGTGTGTACACACACACACACACACACACACACACACACACACACACTCTCTCTCTCTCTCTCTCTCTCTCTCTCTCTCTCTCTCTCTCTCAGGAATATTATTCAGCCATAAAAAAGAATGAGACCTTGCCATTTGTGACAACATTATGCTAACTGAAATAAGTCACACAGGAAAAGGTAAACACCATGTAATCTCACTTACATGTGGGATCTAAAAACACAAAAAACAAAACCACGCTCATGGATATAGAGAACATACTGGGGGTTAACTGAGGCAGAAGGGAAGGTGGGTGAAATGGGTAAAGGGGGTCAAAGGTACCAATTATCAGTTATGAATAAGCCATGGCTCGAACTCACTTGTGTGCTCTCTAAATAAATAAACTTTAAAAAAATAGTATATCTAGGAGATGGGATATTATACAGAGATGGAATATTACATATTATAAAAACATTTTTTAATGACATGGGGAAATACTTATAGTGTTAAATATTTCAAAATCAGGGGCGCTTGGGTGGCTCAGTTGGTTAAGCATCTGACCAGCTCAGGTCATGATCTCATGGTTTGTGGGTTCGAGCCCCGCAATGGGCTCTATCCTGACAGTTCAGAGCCTGGAGCCTGCTTCAGATTCTGTGTCTCCCTCCCGCTCATGCTCTGTCTCTCTCTCTCAAAAATAAACAAACATTTTAAAAAATTTAAAAAAACAAAAACCATAAACTATAGATGCAATATAATCTTAACTATTATTATTATTTCAATTTATTTTAAGAGAGAAAGAGAGCACGCACATGCATGGGGAAGGGGCAAAGAGAGAGGGAGAGAAAGAATCCCAAGCAGGCTCTGTGTTCAGTGCAAAAAAAGCCCAATGTGGAGCTCAACCTCATGAATTGTGAGATCAGGACCTGAGCTGAAATCAAGAGTCAGACACTTAACCAACCAAGCCACCTAGGTGCCCCCCCAAATTTAAATATAAATAGATGCTGTTGTGAGTGTGGAGTATGTGTTTATCTTGCATAAATGGGATCGTATTAAGTACACTACTAGGAACTTTGCTTTTCTCCCTTAATATGCTTTGGGTATCATTCCATATCAACATATAAAGATATTCTTTTAACGTGCCATATACTGTCCTATCATATAGATGTACTTAACCATTACATTTTTCCTTTTTGCTATTATAAAGGGCACTATAATGAACATCCTTATACATGTATCTTGGTGAACTACAGATATATTCCTAGCAGTGGTGGTATAAAGAAATACATGCAATTTTAACTTCTGGACTAGATATTGTCAAATTCCCCTTCACCAAGCCTGTACCCATTTATACGCTCAACAACCATGTATGTATGTTCTTGGTAACCCTGGCTATCATCTAATTTTTTTTAATTTTTGCAAATCTAATGGGGGATATCATTATCTTGCTGAACTGCATTTTATAAATCATGAGTGACTCTGTACACCTTCTTATATGTAAACTTCCTTTTTCTATCTTTTCTCTCCATCTATTGAGTTGTCTTTTTCTTATCAACTCGAATAAGCTATTTACAAATTATTTTGCCCCTTGTTTTTTTACAAAAAAACTGGGAAAAATGGTCTCCTGATACATAAAAATATCACAAGTAAACCTTTCTTTTATGGATTTTGAGTCTGTGTTCTATTTAGAAAGGGCTTCTCTACTATAAGCTAATTAATAGATTAACCTATACTTATTCTATAATTTTTTTGCATCAAAATTTATGTTTCTGGAATTAAATACTAATGTAAGACGAGGGCGACAGGC